GCCAAAAAAAAAAAAAAAACCCCAAACAAACAAGCTCCATCTATTCATACTAACTATAGCGTCAGAAATGATCTACTATGTACCACTGTGATCTAACATGTCAGTTTGGCATATATATATATATATTCACTTTCGTTACATCGTCCATTAGATGCATATTACAGATGATATTTACATATGAATCAGGAAGAGTTTGTAACAGTCCAGCTGGAGTAGCTTTTGTCAGTCCGATCAGATGATCCAAGTCTCATTACAAAAAACAAAAAGAGCACCAGCTTGATACAAGAGTCCTCTGAGTTGTAACTGAAAAATCGCACTGGATAATTCGTCTCAATCAAGAAAAACATTGAAATATTTAAGCCTACATACAGAATAGTATAGATCTGTACAAGTATACATACACAGAACCCAAATCACACCCTCTGAGAGCATGAAGACCCCTATGAATTAGGGCGAGGAGGAGTATGATGTGGGTGTTGAGATATGATGACCATCCGTGTGGTCTGAGGAAGAGTTCAGTGCTTGATGTCCATATATATATAGAACTGATGCGATCACTCAACACAGCACGATTCTCAGTATGAGAAAGCTTGTGGAAAAGAAAGACAAAAATCTGAATATCAAACTCAAGGGAACTTCGTTCTTCCTGTAGGTAACTTTTTTAGATGACAGAGGACATGTGTTTCTTATATATATATATATATATATATATATATATATATATATATACACACATGTAGAACTGATGCGATACTCAACGCAGATGATTCTCAGTATGAGAAAGCTTGTCAATGTGGAAAAGAAAGACAAAAGTCTGAATATCAAACTCAAGGGAACTTCGTTCTTCCTGTAGGTGATTTTTTGGATGATGGAGTACACAGGTGTAGTAGTGGTTGAGTGAGGAGGGACGGCGGTGGATGTTGATGGACTTCTGTCAGGATGGGCCTTTGAGATGGTGCAGGCCATGTCTGATTTAGATGGACTTGGATGAATCCTGCTTGCTGATGAGGACCTCCAGAAGCCGCAGTTTGGCTTTAATGCGCTTGTACTCCTTGTATTCGTCCATCATAGGCATGCGGTCTTCCTTCTGAACATTCCTGTGGGGGAAAGAAAAACATTGTGTTTGAGAACAATGCTGATATGAAGAAGATCAAATGAAGAGAGCTCTTTGATTCTGGTTGGTTCAGCGTTTCATGCAACAAGACAGCGTCAAGTTAATGCTTGCTCCACAGCAGATCAATGTCAGTTGTATAACAATGAACTGAACAGAATCTGGCGAAGTGTTTAGCAACTGTAACATTTGTCTGGTACAGTGTCAGAGGAGGCTCTTATCACGCAGTGTCTGGTTACCCTGACTTGTGCAACATATCAACAAGAAAACTGCAACAACCTGTTAAAAACAAAAACACGCAACGACAAGACAGTGTTAAAAGACATAGAAAAAACTCCTGCTTTCTGTTTTACAATGCTGCTGGGATTTGTTTCAAGTCAAAACAATACAAGCAAAATGTCTTCAGAATATTTTAAAAATATTGGCCATTAAAAATATTTAAGACCCATCGAATACGAATTTAAGACATTTTAAGACTTTTGAAGGACCCGCGGACACCCTGTAATAAATCAGCATATTAGAATGATTTCTGAAGGATCATGTGACACTGAAGACTGGAGCAATGATGCTGAAAATTCAGCTTTGCATCACAGGAATATACTGTATTTTGAAGTATATTAAAATAGAAAACTGTTATTTTAAATTTGAACAGCAGTCTATCTATCTATCTATCTATCTATCTATCAATCATAATCTTTGGGCTTCATTTCTATAGTAATTCACTCAATCTGTGACATCTAAAAAAAAGGCACTAGTAGAAAAGTACAATACAGACAAGAATAAGAGGGCGAAGCTTAGCAGGACAATTCTGCGCTTTGGAACAAGTACCTCATGAAAAAAAAGAAAAAAAAAAAAAAAAAAAGATAATATATAATAATACTAATGTAATACTTTCCCACCACAGGAATAAACTGTATTTTGAAGTATATTAAAATAGAAAACTGTTATTTTAAATTTGAACAGCAGTCTATCTATCTATCTATCTATCTATCTATCAATCATAATCTTTGGGCTTCATTTCTATAGTAATTCACTCAATCTGTGACATCTAAAAAAAAGGCACTAGTAGAAAAGTACAATACAGACAAGAATAAGAGGGCGAAGCTTAGCAGGACAATTCTGCGCTTTGGAACAAGTACCTCATGTTCCCTGCTTGAAAACATCATACATTTCTACTGGTTTATCAATTCAGGCGGTATATATGGCCCACCGCTGACTCCCGTCTAGTGTGTTTGATCCTGTATGTTCGCCACCTCTGAGCGTTCGGATGAAATAAGCGTGGGAGGGCCTACCTGCCATTCTGATGGTAGAACTCATCTTCAAACTCTCTGATGGTCCTCCTCAGTTTCTTCTTCTCCGCTCTGGCCTTCCATAGCTGTTCCAGGAGCTCGGGCCTGTGGGATACAGGTGGTGTTAAGCTGCTGGTTTCCACATATGGAGCTGTAACTCTCCGGATGCTATAGCAACAGAAAACTGTGTACTCAAAACACTCCTAAGCGGGATACAACCTTTGAATGGCTCTGAGGTTAACTCGGGTCGGTAAAAGTTAGAAACAAGGTGACATGGATCTCAGCGGCACCCGATACAGTACACTAGACTTAGTACACTAGACTTAGATCTGGCTGCTAGTGCAGTTGTTTTCCTTCATACAGGATTACGGCTTGATCCAGCTCGAGACTTTCAGGCCACTGACTCCTGCAGATTTCCTGGTCTCTGCCAAGCTCTATTAATAGACCTCATATGATGAGAGCATGAGCCGATTGCTGCTCCTACCTGATAAACAGCGGGACTACGTGCGTAGACGCGCATGCACATAAATCAAGGTGTAGAAATCGAGGTCTCTGCTAATGTAGGTTACACTGTAATCCCAAGACCTGCTGGGTAATTCCAGACTGAGGGCTTCAACATTGCTTCAGATTTAAAGGAATAGTTCACCCAAGAATGCAAATTTTCTGATAATATTTGTATTTACCCTCAGGCCATCCAAGATGTAGATTTGTTTGTTTCTTCATCAGATTTGGAGAAATGTAGCATTGCATGCACAGCAATGGATGCTCTGCAGTGAATGGGTGCCGTCAGAATGAGAGTTCAAACAGCTGATAAAAACATCACAATAATCCATTCCCTGTTGTCCTCTCACATCAAAATCCACCCACATAGTTGTTTTGAATTGTTTTCACTTGTAAACGGTGCTTGATCTGCGCATATTTCTCTCCAGATTCAGACCAGATGACGTTTTCACCGGAGAAAGCAGTATTATGGGTAGAGGACTCGTATTTATGCCAGAAACAACAGTTTGAAGTTAAAAACATCACTTGTCACCTTGTTACTTCACCAGATGTTAACTGATAGACTGGAGTGGTGTGGATTATTGTGGTGTTTTTATCAGCTGTTTGGACTCTCATTCTGACGGCACCCATTCACTGCAGAGCATCCATTGCTGAGCAAGTGATGTAATGCTACATCTCACCCAAATCAGTTACGATGAACTCATCTTGAGGTAGAGCGGCACGATTCTGGATAAATTGAGAATCACAATTTTTTTTTTTGTCTCAAATAGAGATCCCGATTCTCCCACGATTCTGAACTAAACAAAATAATGTGTGAAAAAATATGAATTGCTGCAGTCTATTTAAAAGTGTTTAATTAATTTGAATGAATTGTTAAACATTTTAATATATAATATATGTATTTAAAATATATTATTTAATGCACCAATTTTTAATATAAAAATTATGAAATGATTCAATGACTCACTCATAAATACTTCACTTGTTTCATTACTGGATGAATCAGCGTTTTTGAACGAATCTCTTGAATGAATGATTCAATGACAAATACATTTTTTAACAGTGACTTGTTGCCACCTAGTGGCAGAACGATGCAATCGACACAGACGTTATTTGAAGCGCCAATTACTTTCAAAAGATGATTCGCTACCGTAGACATCAGTGTTTATATCCGAACTATAAACTTTCATCCCAGTATTTCTATCATAACATGAATGACTGCAAGACAGAAATAATTCTGTGTAGTTGAAAAGAAGCTGCTAAACATGGTAACTGTCTGCTCTCTGTGTCAGCGGCAGTGCGACCGCAGATTTGAATGTTCTGGTATGACTCTTTCAAAGGTTTAACAGACACAGGTTGAATTGTTATCATTTAGAAATTAGATCATGTGGGTGTCGATCTGAATCGAGATCGCGATCTTTTAATGATTAATCGTGCAGCTCTATCTTGAGGGGGAGGAAACTTTCATATTTTGCTGAACTATTCCTTTAAATCCACATGAAACAGCATTCCCATTTGACCTCCGTTAGTAAGAAAGTAATATCAATTTAGATTTTCTGGTCCACACTCACATGGAGGAGGCGTTGGAACTGGACAGACGCAGATCGAGATTGAGCTTCCCAGAGCTGAGGATGTTCTCCTGAGTGGGCTGCTGGGAGCTGGGCTGGGCTACTGGGTCCATGATGATTTCTGAGCCCTCGCTCTGCATCTCTACATTTTCCTGCTGGCCCCTGCCCTCCTCCTCCTCCTCTTCTTCGATCTCACCACAGAAGTGGGCAGTTTCGCCCTCGATGATGGGTTGTAACATCTGATTGCGCCGTTTGCTGGAGGGAGAAGCCTGTGCGAGAGAGGAGAGTCCGGTTATTCTGCTTCCTCTGTGCTAAATGTCTAGCCAGCGTACTATACGATCCTAAAACAACACTAGATCCGATTTCAGCTCTAGAAAGCAGTGTCAGCTTTCATTTCACAATCCTATCATATTTCAATATCATTCTTAGAATATGCATTAATTATAAACTCCAGACTTGGTTTCAGATTGCAAACATTAATTATGTATTATTCATAACACCAAATATCCAAAAGGCTAATGTGGGTGTGGAAAAAAAGAGGAACAGGGTGTCTTACTATGATAGGGGTGATGCTGACACGGGTGAGCATCTGCTTGACCAGCCGATATCTGTCATACAAGGGTTTCACAATCAAGCGCTCCTCTCGGGTCACCTGCAGGAGGACACTTTTGTCAGAGAACTGCATACACGAGGAAGTTTGTGTGTGTGTGTGTGTGTGAGAGAGAGAGAGACCTACTGGGCGCCCATGAAGTCCCTCATAGTACAGAAGATTCTTCTGCAGTACTGTTTTCTCACTGGCAAGCTGCTCCTTGGTCATTTTCTGTATAGAGCAACAAATTAAACTCTCAAATTAGATGTTACGGCTGGATAAACTACATGATATCTGAACAGATTTAAAATACTAGCCATCAAAAAAAGCTTGCCTTAAATGGTGATAGAGAAAATCTGGGCAACATGCACTGAACGGCTGATGACAACAATAACAGACGTTTAGGTCGTTTTGAACACAACAAACCCATGCAGAAATACACTGCTGTTCAAAAGGATCAGTAGGATTTTTAATGCTTTTTAAAGAAGTCTCTTATGCTCATCAAGGCTGCATTTATTTGATCAAAAATACAGAACAAAAGTGTTATATTTTGAAATTTAATTACAATGTAAAATGTTTTCTGTTTTTTAATATACATGAATATATTTGAATAAATGCTTTTCTTTTCAACTTTTTATTCATCAAAGAATTCTGAAAAAAAATATCACTGGTTCCAAAAAAATATTAAGCAGCACAACTGTTTCCAACATTGATAATAATAATAAATCAGCATTTTAGAATGATTTCTGAAGGATCATGTGACACTGAAGACTGGAGTAATGGCTGATGAAAATTCAGCTTTGCATCACAGGAACAAATTACATTTTAAACTATTTTAAAATAGAAAACTATTATTTTAAATTGCAATAATATTTCACAATATTACTGTTTTTTTTCCAGCATTTTTGATCAAATAAATGCAGCCTTGATGAGCATGAGAGACTTCTTTATAAAACATTAAAAATCTCACTGATCGCAAACTTTTGAGCGGCAGTGTATGCCTCATTACTAGAAGAGACACATGATGAATGAAAACAATGTGTTCTGAAATCAGCCTAAATAATTACACATTTGATATCCTTGAACTGCATGGAATCATAGTCTGAGGCTAAAAAAAAAGTCTGTGCCCATTACACACGCTTCGATTTTCTGTGAAATTTGTCAACACCGGCAGCCCAAAATCTGAAGACTAGCTCTGACTTTCCACAACTAGCGTTGACTCATCCAGACTGTAAATCAGGGCAAAACTCTGTGCAAAAGTCATGAAATGGAATGTAGATGTTACAAATCTAACTTCCTGAGAACTTTTGAGATGAATTCGAAATACATCAAAGCTGCTGATTAAAGGGATAGTTCACCCAAAAATCTTACCCAGAAATCCAAAAATCTGAGAGCTCTCTGGAAAGTCTCTGGGTGAACTAACCCTTTAAAGTTTAAGAAGCTGGAACTCACTCTGACGTCCTCTGGCCAGTCGTCCTCGGCTCTTTTGGTTTGGATGCAGTGCTGAATAAGCTCCAGCGTCTCTTCTCTTGTGGGCCGGTGACCCCGTGCCTCACTCTCCAAGTGGTCCTCGTGAGCCGACTGATCCAGTGTGGAGCCAAAGCTCTTGGGCAGAGTGTTACTGCGTGGACGCGTCTGCGGAGTCAGCTCACTCTCAGCCTTGTGTTTGGCATCTGGGTGAGAGAGACAAAAAGAAAGACCAAATTAGGAGGCCAAGAGGTTTGCTGGGAGCATTTAGGATGGAGTTGACCACACTAACTAGGGCTGCACGATTAATCAAATGCGATTGTTGCTCCATCTGAAAGCATGTGAAAATACCACATTTAATAACATGTTTTTACTCCAAACTCACTTCATAACGTCGGTCGAGTGTCTGAAATAAATCCTTCTGTGAGATGTGGCTTCTTACATAGAATAAGGCACGCAACAAATTTCATAGTATTCTAAGCAGTGATAAAGGCATTGCATTATAATATACTTTATTATAATGAAAATTATAATAATAATTATAAGAACTCAGATAAATCAGATATTGTCATCCTTCAGAAATCATTCTAATATGCTGATTTGCTGCTCAAGAAACATCTATGATTATTATCAATGTTGAAAACAGTTGTGTACAATTTTTTCTGCATTTTGTGATGAATAGAAAGTTCAAAAGAACAGCATTTATCTAAAATAGAAAGCTTTTGTAACATTATATACACTATTGTGTTCAAAAGTTTGGGGTCAGCAAAAACTTTCTTTTTTTTGGGAAATAAATTAAAGAAATTAATACCTTTATTCAGCTGGGATGCATTAAATTGACCAAAAGTAGCATTAAAGACTTGGTTACAAAAGCTTTCTATTTCAGCTAAATGCTGCTCTATTCATCAAATAATCCTGAGAAAAATTGTACACAACTGACTTTAACATTGATAATAATAATTAATGTTTCTTGAGCAGCAAATCAGCATATTAGAATGATTTCCGAAGGATCATGTGACACTGAAGACTGGAGTAATGATGCTGAAAATTCAGCTTTGATCACAGGAATAAATTCCATTTTAAACTATATTAAAATAGAAGAGAGTTATTTTAAATTGCAATAATATTTCACAATATTGCTGTATTTTAGATCGAATAAATGCAGCCTTGGTGAGCAGAAGAGATTACTTCAAAAACATTTACATTTGTCCACTAGTGTATATCATTCTAACCTTGTAGTTTCTGTCTTTTTCAAACTGTTCCTCAAACTGCTTGATCTTCTTCTTGAGGTTCTGGAGTTTCTTGGTGAGCTGGTGGGAGACGTTGTCTCCCTTCAGACTGTCTTTGGAAGTGAGGGAAGCACGGCGAGGCCTGAGAGACGTGACACGAGCGTGAGTTTAGCTGTCAGTGTATCGGAGTATTCATAAGTGTCTGTGGTCTCTCTGCTCACCTCCCGCAGGGCAAAGCTTTGGTGGAGGATGTAGCATCGTGGTCCTGCTGCAAGAACCGCTGACTGTGGCCAAAGTCCAGGAAGCGTCGGGCCAGCAGCGGCTGAGTATCGTCTTCTAGTGGCAGGGGCATCATGCGGCCTGCCAGCGGGGACAGCTGGGCCTCCCCTGACTCAGTCTCCTCTTGCCATGACATGAACACTGGCACAGGGTCTGACAAAGACACACAGACACATGCACTGCCATTAAAAACAATATCATCAGCATAACTCAACAGTTCAATCGCATACACTTCCACACAGAGTTAGAAGTTCACAACACAACAGGCCTGGGTTGCTTTGTGCTATTAACCCAAAGTCTAAACGGGTGCGCAGAAATCACAGCTACTCTGACACATAGTGAGCGAGCCATACAGCACATAAAAACCAAGACTTCCTCAGAACGCTTTGTGGAAATAGACAAGCACTGTTATTTGGCAAGTGACGCTTCTGGGTAAGAGTGCACAGTTAAATGTCATCCACTCAGGCAAACATTCACACACATACATTCTGGAGCCAAAGTATTTAAAGAGCTGCCACATCAGCAATGACAGCAGTCATTGTTTATCGTGCTCGATGCAGGGAATCATGCACAGAGCAGAAGTCACGTTGACCCGAGAGGGCAGAGAATGTACTGGACCGGGGCCTGCTGTGGAAACTTAGCCGATCAAATGTGCACTGCCTAGATGTCTGACATGGTGGTTGATTAGGAGAAAGCTGATGCATTTGCTGATGGCAGATGGTAAATAGTGGGAGTCAGCAGGACCAATTGGGTGCACGTGAGGAGCCGATGGGTTAGTCAGAGTCTCAGGGGGCGAACTCAAACTGAAGGCGTTTTCACACTAGAGATTTGACGTTAGAACTGAATTTGGTTGGCGTGAATGCTAGACTCTGTAAAACGTTACAGTTATAGTTATTGTTGGAGCTGGTCATTTGTATGAAAGCAATCCATCCTAATTTTGCAGAAGTAAACTGCTTTTGTACAAGCACACTTAATATAATTTGTCTACTATAAGATAATTTATTTCTACATGGAATCTGAGCCCACAGAACTCCATAGAAAATTCTGCAGATTTTCAGAGCATTGGGAACATCGATTCACAACATTCCTCATAGTCATGTATGTATATTAAATATTTTGGATTATTTAATACATTAAATTTAATACTCTTATTTCCGTTCAACATGCATTTCCACATTTAAATCCCTTCTGCAAAATTCCACAGATTTTCCCTTAAAATCAAGGTGTAAAAATACAAAAAAGGCCCAATAGTTTCCATTTGGACCTCCTTAATGCTACTTGTCCTGGAAGAAATCACCTCTGGCAAGCAACAAGAGCATCCACAAGTGTTGTTCTGGGTGCAGTTTTGGTAGAAAAACAATAACGGCAAGCTTTACATTTTTAGTGTTTATTCACAATGTAACTCTGTGGTAGATGTTGACAGTGTACTGTGGTTTGCATTCAAAATAAGGCAGCATGAGAAGGTGGCTGTGGAGGAAGGGGAAAGGGAAGGGGCGGAGCCAAACTCGGGTTCGAAACGAGTGAAAACAGCTTGAGAGCAGCAGTGGGCGATGGACGAGCTGGGGCGAGGGCTGTGGAGATGACTTACCGCTCCCTTCTCTCTGCAGGTGCATACATGTGAAGTCAATGGGTGGGAAATTGATGGGGCATGATGCTGACCAGAAATGGGCGGAGAGAGAGAGATAGCACAGAAGAGTGCAGTGAGCTATGAGCCTCACACACACACATACACACACACATACATGTCTGGTCAGCTATCCTTGTGGGGACTCTCCATAGGCGTAATGGTTTTTATACTGTACAGACCGTATATTCTATTGCCCTACACCAACCCTACCCCTAAACCTACCCCTTACAGGAAACTTTCTGCATTTTTAGATTTTCAAAAAAATTAATTCTGTATGATTTATAAGCTTTTGTACCCGTGGGGACCACAATTTATGTCCCCACCGTGACACGAGTCCCCATGAGTCTGTGTGTAGTCAGGTTTAAGTCC